TATGGGCACGCACGGAGGCAAGGAGCAGCCCGAGGGCACCACCTCCTCCCTTTGCCCAGTACACACAGACACATACACACGCGTGCATGCGGTGCCCTGCAGAGCCCTGGGCACGGCCGGGCACCAGCGTCTGTCCTCATCTCCCACAGGGCGCTGGACGTGCTGAAGGACTTTGCACCAGGCGCCCAGCTGCCCGTTTTGCTCTACAATGGCGAGCCCAAGACTGACACCGTCACCATCGAGGACTTCCTGGAGGACAAGCTGGGCCCCCCCACCTCTGTGGCTGGCACTGCCCTGAGATGGGGCAAGGAGCCAAAGAGGGGCAGGACAGGCTGGGGGGAGGGGGCAGGCAGCACATGGGCCTGCCGGCCCTTGCCTCCTTCCTCAGCTGCACCCGTGTCCTTGCAGGTTCCCCAGCCTGGTTCCACAGTACAGGGAATCGAGCCTAGCTGGCAACGACATCTTCCACAAGTTCTCCACCTTCATCAAGAACCCAGTGCCTGCCCAGGACGAGGGTAAGGAGCTGGGGTGGGATGGGACACCCCATGCAACCGCTCAGGTGCCACCACCTCAAAGCCGGGTTGGGTCACCCCGAGCCTTTCCAGTCCCCCCGGCCCCTGCAGCCAGGTCTCTACAGGCACTGCCCTCCTCACACAGAACGGTGTGGCCATGCCAGGGCTTGGGAGGGCAGGGGCAAGCACCAGCCTGGGTGAGGTGGGAAGAGCATGGGCAGGCGCTGCCCAGGCACAGGGATGGGCTGGCAGGAGGCCTGGGCAGAGCTGCAGGTCCCTGTGCCCGCAGCGGGGCCATGCCCTGAGCCAGCAGTGCTGCTGCCCTCCCCACAGCACTGCAGCGGAGCCTGCTGCGGGCCCTGCTGAAGCTGGATGAGTACCTGAGTGCCCCCCTGGAGTATGAGCTGGCTCACGACCCCCACCTCCGGGCCTCCCGGCGCCGCTTCCTTGATGGGGACCAGCTCACGTTAGCTGACTGCAACCTGCTGCCCAAGCTCAACATTGTTCAGGTGAGCATGGGCATCCTGGTGC